ATGTTAGTGAGCAGTTGATAACCAACCATCAGACATCCTAAACGCAGCATTTGTTACCTAGCAACTCTAACTGAAATTTTGAGATCTGAAGATAAGGATCAAGCCTTTGTGGTAAAGTCACTGTTTCAGCTACAAAACACAACTATGAGCTAAGAGTCATTAGCTTTGTCTTGAAGACAGATTCATGGTTTGGGTTTGAAGGGATCTCAAGAATCATCAAGATAGTACATTCTTTGAGGATGCCACATTTTTACACATACAGCTACCTGCTGTAACACATTTCCAGTGTTTCATTTCATTTCATTTTCAAGTTTTATCAGTAAAAAAACAGCTACAATCACTTGTGCTTAGAAAAGTAAGGATTTGTTATAAAGTTTTATGAGGAATTAACTGTCTTCAAAAGCAAGGTTTGTTTGACTGCCATGAGATATCTAAAATCTTTTTTTTTTTGAACACCAAACTCTATTCAGGACTATTTTCTGAATTGCGGAGACTCTGATTGCAATATGTTAAGCAGGTACAGTACCAGCTTTAATCAGTTTTCTTTCCTATTAAGATCAAAAACCTAAAGATCATCCCCTACATGCCAAGAGATTCAGCACCCGAGTCAGTGTGGACCGTTTCTGCAGTATATGGAACAGTGCTTCCCAGAGATGTTTACAAAGGAGGGAGCACTTTTAGCCTATTCCAACAACTTATCAGAAAAGGATCTTAAGCTTCATACCTTCAGTTCTGTATTACTCCTTAACCCCTAGACTCTTTCCTCGCATTCTAGGCTTGTCTTTGAGTAGGAATTGCATTTTGGACCAGAGAAAAAAACTTCCATAAAGTCCGGTATGTACATTCCTGAAAAGAAGGACTGGTTTCAAGCAATTAACATTCTCTAATGGAAAAACTACTTTGCCAGAGAATTCTTGATCATTTCTAATTTGACTTTGAGTAATTAATAAGGCAAATATGAAAGTAATTACATTAGCTATGAATATAGCATTTCACAAACAGAAGGCAATAAATTAGAGACTGCTGCAGGGAAGTCTGACAAAAGCTGGCAGTGTTTGAAAGTCCTGCTTCATGCTGCATTTCCCAGGAGACACTGATTATTTTCAAAAAACAACAATCAAGTATCGTTTCAGAGAACTTTTCATCACACTCCATTTTAGGTTAAAATATGACAATTTTTGACGAAAACTATACTACATTTCTAATAAAGACAAGTTCATAAGCTTACAGGGAATATGAACTAAACTTGGTGTTTTGGATCATGAAAGCATTTATTCACAAATCAAAATCAATGCTCTACATGAGTCAAGTATAAAAAATGTGGTAAGACTAAGTATGGTGCTTATTAAGCAGTTCTTAGGGCAACTGTCACAAGAAGCTACACAGCCAGTGTTTACTCTTTCCTCTACTGAAATAGCCCAGGCTTGACCCATGTCAGAGCCTGAATTAAGAACCGTAACAAAAACCACAAGATCCAAAAGGGTAGGCTTTTTCTTACTCTACGCTAGCAGTACAGTACATTTGCAAAATATTCTCCTACAATAAACTTGAACACAGTAGTCTCTACATCCAGGCTGCGGCCATTAAAGAGTACCAAAGACACAGCAAAATCAACTACTGCAACAACTTAATTTTTACTTTATTCCTTTTCATTTTTACTTCGTTCCTATTCATTTTTACTTTATCTTAAAGCAAACAGAAAAATCCTAAATCCCAACTGCACTGAAGCACTTATCCTAACATTTAACTTTTTAATAACTTGCAGGCATTTAACAGGAACTGAGATGGAACAGAACACCCACAGCTCTGTCATTCTCCACATTAGCACAATTTATGGCAGAAGAAATGTTAATAGTCATCAATCTGAGCCACCTCAACATAGCTCAGCATTTTAATACCTTCATTTCAAAGTAAAAATTTTAACTGTATCTTGAAAAAAGGAAACATAAAGGCGTCAGAAAGTGAGAAAAAAACAAAGTCTGAAGCTTTGCTGTATTTAAGAAGGAAGAAAGTAGATTTCTGAAGAAATTCCTTAATTTCTTTTTATTACAATTTGAAGGAATTCAAATTCTGAATTGTAACCAGGATCCCTATTTGCTGACCCTCTATAATTGCAGTTTCATGTCATTAAAACTACTTTCTTTGATGATCTGTAGAAGAAATAGACCACACACTGGACAAATACAGCTTCAAACAATAGAGTAAACATATTTGGAAAATTTTTCTCCTGTAAAATAAGAAATGTGATCTGCCATAACAGAATAAAACAACCCTAAAAAAAAACCAAATCAAACACATACACACAATTCCACTTATATTCCCACCTCATCTTTGTAAAACTTAGCATGTTTTCTGGATGAGTGATGCAGCATCCGGACAGCAATTAAAGAAGCTCAACTGATACGTAAGTCAGAGAAAGCAGCTATAATACACTTTCATAGACAAATGCAAACAAGTGTCAGCAGCTGAGAATATGAATTAAGAAATGTTTAAAGGGAAAGTTATTATGATCAGGGCTACTTAACATTTGCAAAAATGACATAAAATGATGAAAATTACCTCAGATTATTACATGTCCTTAAAAGCATCAATGAAGTTATATCACAAATTCAGCTGAAGAGCTACTTGGCTGTTGTTATGATGAGAGCAATGAGAGAATGGTCATAAGCTCACTTATAATCAGTTCTTAGCTTAAAGAGTGTGCAGTAGTGAACGCATAAGAAAGAAGACTTCCCTGGGCCAAATACTATAAAATGGGGTGTAATTTCAATAAATATTTGTATTTTATTTAACTTAATAACTAGCAGGATTATTTTGGTCTTTCTGTGGTGGCAACCTCATATTTTGCAACAGACTTTATACTGTAAGCAACGCCCTAAATTGATATTATAATAACTGGATGAAAATGCCAAAGATGACAGAATTAATAAACTGGAGTCTGATTTCAGTTAGTTTGCAAGAGATACTCAATGAAATAAATAAACAGATTTATTATCAAGACAATTTCATGATGTACTTTACAGCTTTCTTCCCAACAAATACAGTAAGTATTAAAAGATCTGCAATGTGTAATCATTTATTTTGAAAATCAAAAAACTGGAAGATAAAACAAGCTACTTGCTCAAAGACATATCTCACAACACAATACAAAACCCAACCTTACAAATGACTGAAGTTAATAAATTATGGTATAAAAAAACTTACACATCGTGGGTTTTATTTCATTCACATCTAGTTCAAAAGAAAAGAGTTGAGTAAGTGCTAACAGGACGGGAAAATATATTTCCTCTGATTTGCAGATAACATGCATCTTCTGCATGTTATCTAGACACAGACCTTCAAGTGTTTGCCGAACAAAAATTTTTGTCAATATAGACTTTCCAGCTATTTAAAATACTTTTAATTTTAGAAGATACTAACATTCCTGGAATTGTGCCAGGTTAAGCATCTGCACGACTGAATATAGCCTACTTTCAAAACTAAACCATTAAGCTGTTTCCTGAAACAGGATGCAGTTGTCTACAGAGTGGATGCATATTTATTTTACTATAAAAATGCTTATAAAACAAGAAATCCCACCCTTCCATACTTTGGACAACTAGATTTGTACTTCTTTTAGAGAGCTAATGACATGATAGCAGTAGCTAGAAAAATAAAAAATATTTATAACTTCCAAATTCTGTGTAGAATTGTTATCTTAATTACAAAAAAAAAAAAAAAAAAACAAAAAAAACACTAACACTATGGTGTTGTTTTTTTTTTTTAACCAAATGCTTGCCTTTCCTCTTTTATGCATTTGTGTACACTACCATAACATAGAAGGTAAGCACAGACTTAAAAAAAACTGCCATTGTAATTTTCTTACAAAAGTATACACTAAAAATTTTCCACAATTTTCTTTTTAAGAATGGAATAACAGTCTTAAATTTGGTCTGAAAAAATACCAAACTACTCCATAGCTTGTCTTTTCCCGTTTGACGGCTTTCAACTCAGTACAACTTCCTATCAACAAGTGAAGGCTGGTGTTTCAGTTTATGTGAGTTAGCAATACTTAATATAAAATTCACAGAGCTGGCACAGGTCAGCACTGAGAGCACTGTTACTTTCTTTTCCTATTTATTCCAGCAGAAAACTTTCAGGTTTTTGTTATTTGTTCTGCGGTTTTTCCAAATGAAATTTATTTTTAGGCAGTCTCCAGTTCCCTCCTCCACTGCCACATTTAAACAAGGAATGTTATTTACACCCACCACCTTCATCACCACACACTGGTTTAAACTAAACAAACAATATTCTAGGGTCAATTTCACATGCCTATGCACATCAGCATCTGAAAGCAGCTTGTGCTTCTTCACCCTAAGATCTCATTGTTCAAGTGAAGAAATAAAACTTATTGTGGCTTTCACTAAACAAATAAAATAATTTTATGTCATTGTCTTAAGCTAAAATTCTATTTATAAGTCTCTGATTTTTATCTTCACATTGTAATGCATGCGTTTTTAAACAGGTAACAGATTATGAAATTATTTCTATTGTTTGTTGTAAAAAAATTCCTAATAAAAACTAGGGACCTGGCTTTATAAACCTTACTCATATATTCACATGGCTGCTTAGAACTGGGTACTAGTTTCAGTGCCAATTCATCAGAACACAGTCAGTGACAACTATCCCGTCTACCTCCTCCCGCATCCCCTCAAACAATTTCCCAAAGAGTGCTTGGAAAGACAACTGAAACAGATACACTGAGCTTTACAATCTGTCAGGCATCTACTGTCACATTAAAGAGAAAACTGTTACTCGAATGAGTCAAGTTTCTGAAAGATTGCTTCAAACATTTCACAGAAAGCCTCAAATAGATGATCCCATTTCTCAACCTTTCTTTTTAAGATATGGTAAACGAGTTCCTAAGAAGACCATGTATAGTTTGGCTGTCTTACATGATAGATTTTCTATTGGTAATACTGTTTTCAAACATTTGAGTTAAAATAAAGAGTCTGACACAGTTTTCTGCTTCATGGTTTATTATCTTTTCATACACATTCCAAAAAGAATAAGCTGACAGTTTGCCTTAACATGAAGAACAAGCAGCTTTGGGGTCTGATATCTGTTTCTGGTACTGCTGGAGATCCAGGGTGTAACTTACAAAACCAGTCAGCCCTAGTTCTCAGCATTCCAATCATCTTCACCATGGAATAGACATGTGATGAGAAGAAACACATAGTATAAGAAATACTATGAAAAACTTAAGTTACATATCATGGTACATCTGCACATCGTATTTAGGGATGACTTTTAGTGTCATTTTGATGTCAGTTGGAAGGGATACTGTGAAATGAAGGCGCTGTTGTCAATCCTCTTCAGAGCTAGACTCATCCTCCTGGTCAGAGAGCTCAGCAACAGGGAAGCGCAGAATAGCTGCTACCCCTGTCAGCTGGCCAAGCTGCTCCCCAGACACATGAAGGCTGGAGAAAATTCGCACTGTGCCCATGTTCTCCCGTACACTATCTACCAATTTAACATACCGGGCACGTGTAGCCACATCCTGGTGCCGGAAGAGCTCATCACTGATCAACAAAGTATCAATGGCCATGGCTTCATTGGCCTTTTCCACATGTTTTAGGCCATAAAAAGCCCGGTCAGGCTCATGCTGCAACATTTTATAGAAGTCATCTAAAGCTTTGACCTCACCAGCAGCCTTAGTGTCAGAGAGACGGCTAGTTACAGCTGGGTCACAAAGTGCCTCCTTCAGTGCATACTTATGTCCTGATGATGAATGCACCTGGAGTAAACAAAATCAGAGATTCTTTCTTTAATACAACATACAATTCTCTTGATCAGCCAATCACAAATAGCTTCCACAATACATACTGATCTTGATAATAATCAACTTGCCTCTTCCTTGAAATCTACAACTCTTTTCTTAACTCTTTTCTTCTCCTACAATGCAAAGCTTAACCTAAATCCACAAACTGTATTTTAAGCATATATAAAAAATGATTCTCTTCTTCAGAAACTTCCCTGAATAAGCAAGCTGTTATTAACGGCACCTAAAGCAGGACATCTCAAAATACTGAGAAAACTTAACCCTCTTTATTTTAAAACATATAAGAAGAAGATGACCTCTTAAGATTGAAGACATCCAGCACAAAAGCATTAAGTCCAGTGTAACTGCATATTTCTATGCTTGCTTTCACACATTATCATCATCTTCCTGTATGTGCAAGAGCAGATTTCTTAATGTAATTTAAGACTACCAAACTTTATGACCATTAAGAATAGGACCTTTCCCATTCTGAAAGTACAGATTAGGCCTGAAACAATTCTAAAGTGATAAAAGAATTTTATCAATTATATATATATTATTGATATATTTATATATATATACATTATATATATAATTATATTTTTTCAATCTGACTTTGCCTATTTCAGTGAAAGGCAAAAACGAACAAGCAAAGAAAAAAAAAAACCAACAAAAAACCCCAACCAACTACTAAAATCAAAAATAGGAAGTAATGTTATGGTCCATACAATCTATACTTAACAGCAACATTAACGAACCCATACCACTTCCCTTCCTCTTTTAAAACCTTAAGAAAAATGCAACTACATTTACATGTTATACAGCATGGCTGATTAATACTACAGTTAAACTGATTTCAATTTGTATTTCACTTTTAATTGTGCATTAGGTATTATTTAATATATAAATATTAAGTATTTAAAGCCAATATTTCTTCTACTTCATGCTAAGTTACCCTAGGAAAAAAACACTGATTACAGAATCACAGAATCACCAAGGTTGGAAATGACCTACAAGATCATCCAGTCCAACCATCCAACAACCACCATTAGTTCTCACTAAACCATGTTCCTCAACCCAGTGCCTAAATGTTCGTTGAACATCTCGAGGGTCAGTGACTCCAACACCTCCCTGGGCAGCCCATTCCACTGCCTGATCACTCTTTCAGAGAACTGGTATTTCCTAACGTCCAGCCTGAATTTCCCCTGGTGCAGCTTGAAGCCATTCCTTCTAGTCCTATCACCAGTTACACAAGAGGAAAGGCAAACCCCCAGCTCACTACAACCCCCCTTCAGGTAGTTACAGAGGGCAATAAGGTCTCCCCTGAGCCTCCTCTTCTCCAGACTGAACAATCCCAGCTCCTTCAGCCGCTCCTCATAAGGCCTGTGCTCCAGACCCCTCACCAGCTTTGTTGCCCTTCTTTGAACCCACTCCAAGGCCTCAATGTCTTTCTTGCAGGGAGGGGCCCAAAACTGGACACTATTGTTTCTGGGTTTCTGTGTGTGATTCTGTGTGAAGTTACCCAAGGAAAGAAAAATCCCTGAATGTTGCCTAACTACTTTGTAAATTGAGAGGCATGAGAATATGCTTTTGTATACAGCATCCCTTATGACGCTGTGGGAGTCATTTTCTCCAATAAGGGTATTATTTCCCCATCCTCCCTGCATTTCTTTTCTGTTAACACAGATGACAGCTCTTAATCCACTTCTTAAACTTTTTTAAGACAACGTATCTACTTACCTGTAAAAATTTGGATCTGTTCTCCAGTAAAAGTTTGTTGTCAGTCTTGACTGCCTGCTGGAACATGTAATCACAGAACTGCTCTCGAACGAAGCCTGGGCTGGCCACCAGGACACACTTCACCACTTCAAAGTTGATGTGCCGCTGGATGGCCTGCACCACCTGTTCGTAAAACCTCTCTAGGGCCCGGTCGTGTTGGCTGCAGTTTCCTTTCCGTTTGCGGGGGATGTTCACTTCCACCTTGGCACGAGTGAGGGTCATGCTGGGGGTAACCAGGCAGACGTGAGCCAAGCCTTCCTGCATGACCACGGCTGCCACATCCGCGCTCCACGCCGGATCGCAGGCTTGCTCGATGCGCTCCAACACCACGCTGTCCCACTGCTTCTTTGCCAGCGTGAACTGCCGGTTAGGCTCCAGCTCGATGGTGTGGTAGGCCCCCATCTTGACATACTCATTCTCCTGGATGTTGGTGCCTTTGACCCGCAGCTGACAGGCCTGCGAGTCGAAGTCGATGGTCTCCACGCAGAGGGTGAGGGTGGTGCGGATGCGGTTGCTGCCCACGCTGCCCGTGGACGACTCGGTCTGCACTTTGCGGATGGTGGAGGCCCGCAGGCTGTCACCCACCTGCAGCAGATTGTAGGTGTGCCACATGTCCTCGGGCTCCTCGGGGATCAGCGTCACCTGCCCCGCATTATCCTTCTCCAGGTCCTTCCTCACCAGCTTCATCCTGCCGGCGCCGTCCCCGCCTTCTCTTCAGCCGCGGCGGCAGGCCTAGCGGCGGGGGCCGAGCGGGACGTACTCGCTACTGACCGGTCAGCCAGGGGCCTATCCCCGACCGCCGACGGAACGCGGCCCCGCGGCGAAACCCGGACTCCACGCAGCAGCGGCGACCGGCTCCTCCAGGCCGCCCAGCCACCACCTCGCCTCACACCGTGCGCATGCGCGGCGTCTGCCACCACCCTCCCCAAGCGCATGCGCCCAAGCCGTCCTAGAGGGAGCCTGCAGAACGCGCGCGGCCGGCGGCTCTTTTGCGTGGCACGCACGCGCAACTCTTCCACACGCCGCCAACTCAACCATTCGGAGCTGGCGCATGCGCAACGCCGCCCGCGCTCACCCGCTCCCGTCAGGAGAGGTGGGGGCGGCTCCCGCCCAGACCGCGAGCGCTCCGGTTTCTGTCAGGAAGTCTGAGGCGGGAATAGGGCAGTGCTGCGCTGCTCCGTGCTGTGAGGCGGGGGGGAACGACAACTAAGTAGTTCTGCAGGCATGTACGTGTGGAAAGTCATGGGTACAGATAAAGGAGGTGAGAAAAGTACAGCTAAATAGCTGATTTCCTTGCTGTGATAAGAGGACGCTTCTGATACTTCAGAATCACATCGAACGGGCAATGGTATCTAACGTCTGCTGAGGCACAAAAGAGCTAGAGAGATCACATTTACAGACCGCAATGAAGACCAGTTCGAAGTAACACTAAAACCTGAACTGCTAGTTTGACTTTACTCTTAGAAAGAGCTTAAGGGTTTTGGTTGAACTGACACTATCTTTCTTTGTCCGTCCTACCTTCAGTTATGCTCAAACATGTTCAAAAACTTGAGCTCCTTGCTGAGTCTTCTGGTGGCTGCAGTAAGAATGAGACAGCTCTGAGAACCATAATTTATAAAAAGCTTGATGTTTTGATGTTGACAACTCAATCTGCAGCCTAGACAAGTTTAACAAAGCAGAAATGATATAAAAAAATGTTGATACTGTTGTGCAAATTCTGCTAATTTCAAAATAGTGCTGAACGCTGTTTTCAGAAGGAGTGTTGCAAATTTATTAAGAATGAGGGAAAACTGAGAAGAATGGAGACTAAAAGGATGTTTTTGTATGAAAAAAAAAAAGATTGGAAAGTGAAAATATTTGATAAGAGAGAAGTTATGTTTCTTTCTAAGTGTATCAGGGCAACTGCAGCAGATAAAGTAAGTTCTGAATGTCTATACCTTAGCCGTATCTGAAAAGCAAGAGATATCCTCTTAACAGTTCTAAATTTGCTGCCTTCCTCCTGGTTAAGAGGAACTTTCTGGTTTCCTTTAGTTTCTTAAGAAAATGTTCCTAACAAGGAAAATAATTGGACTGCAGGATTTAATGAGATACAAGATTAGAGTTAGCAAAAATCATATCTCCCATTATGTTGTTACTCCTGTAAATCGTAGGAATTTCTCTAAAGTATCTGGCACTGGCCACTGATTAGAACAGGACACTGAACTCATATCTGGCCCAGGGACATGCATTCAGTGTTCCTAATCTTGATACTGATGTAAAAACAACTTTATCAGATATTACATAACAGGATTTATTTATGAGACTTCAGACTCTCTTCCTATGAGTACACATTCTAACTGTTAGCATGAGTACTTTCACAGAAGGAAACTGGACCACCCAAGGGAATAAAACATAAGCATACACATAACTATTTATTTAATTTGGGCTTGTACATACTCATAATTTGTATTAACATTTTGTGGTTTAGGTGGAGACTGCATTTAGCTTCTCAGGAATTCCTTTCATTTGTCTATGCAAATGCTATACTTATGGTGAGTTTTCTTTACATTCTTTGCAGTTAGGAAATTGCAAGGGTAGACCTCACACTATTTTGTCAATAAAAATATATATAGCGTATATTCGCATTCAACATTGGTATTTATTTTTCTTCCTTTACTGCCTTGTTTTTACAAACTTTTTTCCACTTGTTGGTTCTAGTTTAATTTTAATGAGCAGCCTTACATCCTTAGAGATGCTACACATTTCAGAGAGTTTGCAAGTTGGAACTTAGTACCTGAAAAAATAAGTGTTCAGCTCATGGAAGCAGGTGACTTATTTTATGCAGCACAAATGCTGTATAAAAGTAACAACCATACCAACAAACACTCAATAAAGTTACCTCTCAACATATTAATTTGTTGCTGTAGAGGCATTTTGAGATGTGCTTAAATACTTTCTCAAATAAATAATGAGATTTTATACAGTTGGGAACAATGTTCCACAAGTATTTAGTAGCAACTGTAAACTTAAATGGCGTTATCTAAAATTAGCAAGCCCATTGTCACTTATAAAGGAAAACATTTATTAGATGAATATGCTCTGCCTACTCTGGTGAAAAGTAATTACTGAATATTCTTATTTGTTTGAATATTAGAGAAAAAGCAGCAGAAGAAAGACATCGACTCCAAAAGTTTAAGCACATACAACTAAGTCCATAAGTGCATACTAATTTTGTTCATGTTACAGAGAGCTATGAAGTTAACCTCTGCAGAGTCAAGTTTTAAATTTTATGGTGTGTTCCAGTCTTGTTGAAAAACTAAGCTAAGATGTCGTATCTGAGTTCTTTCTGTTTATCACTTAAAAAAGTACTAACATATAGTAGTAATTGCAGCAATTTATCATCCATTTTAACTGCCTTTCTGAGTGCAATGCAAAACAAGAATGGTGGCAAGCAAATACTTATAGGAGTATTATAAGGCACTGAACACATTTAAGACACACAATCCTTTATCTTCAAGTTTTGATCATCTACCTTATGAAGACGTGATGTATTAGTCAGACAGGTGTTGTTCCTATGACACCTAACCTGATCCACCACCTGCCACCACCACTTCTGTTATAGGTAGAATCATGCAAAAAACATTAAAGTTCTGGACAAAAAGAACTAGTGAGAAAGATTATCAAATACAGGGAGAACTCTGCTGAGAGATTTAAGGATGTTGTAAGAGCAAATGAAGATGAAAGTAGAGAGTAAAATTGGTAAAAAATCAGTTTTCATTCTTTTTCCCCATCCCAAGTCCTGCTTGTGCAGTTTCAGGACTCCTTCCTTTTCTGTGGAAATGTAGTTCTACAGCTATTTCTTTTTGATTACTGGTCTTTTGTATTATAAAGACAAGTATAGTACTCTTATTTAATACCAACAACATGATTATCACCAGTGAGGAGAGAAAAAATTCCAGAAAGTAGCAGGATAAGGATAAGAATATAACTGAAGAATTATCAAAAATAATGGAACTCCTTTGGCTAGGTTTCTTCCTTCATCATATTTTAATGAGAGCCTGTGGAAATTGCAGCAGATCCCTACTGAAACCACATACACTGAAGCCAGGTGAAAAAAACCTTAACCAACCCTGGCAAGTGTTAATCCAACATTATAAAAACTTGAAGGAGATAATGGAGGTCTTTTTTAAGTAATCTACTCCAGGAATTCTATCAATACCCGATGAGTACTAAAATTCTTCTGAATATTCCTTTTTTTTTTTTTTTTACCCAGTAAGTTATCTTGTTCTCTGTTGGACATAGAAAACCAAGTGCATAAACACTTTATATTAGACTTTATATATTGAATATGTTGGTTTATAGAGCTACTGCTCTCATGAAAGAAAAGGAACACTGACATTTGGAAAAATATTCTTATATAATAGTACTGTGTAAAAACATAGATTTGAAACACTCAACAGCTTGCCATTTTCTCTCTCTTACATAAACAAGCCTAATTTATTCAGTCTTTTTTCATTGATTGCATTTCCTCAATTCTTATCACAGAACTGTAGGGATTGGAAGGGACCTCTGGTGATCAGCCAGTCCAGTCTAAAGCAGATTCCGCACATAGGAAAGAGCCCAGGTGGGTTTTGATTATCTCTAGAGAAGGAGACACCAGTCTCTCTGGGCAGCTGGTTCCAGTGTTCCATCACTCTCAAAATAAACAAGCTTTTCCTCATCTTTGCATGGAACTTCCTGTGTTGCAGTTTGTGCCTGCTGCCCCTGGACCTGTCACTGGGTACCACTGGAAAGAGCCTGGCTCTACCTGCTTGACACTCACTCTGTAGATATCTATAAGATTAATAATATCTCCCATCAGTCTTCTCTTTTCCAGTCTGAACAGTCCCAGGTTTCACATCCTATCCATGTAAGGGTGGAGTTATTCCAGGCCCCTAATCATCTTTGTGGCCCTTCACTAGACTCTTTCTGTAAGCTTCTTGTCTATTCTGAAGCTCAGACCTGGACACAGTATTCCACATGTGACCTCATAGTGGCAAAATAGAGGGGGAGAAAACCCCATCTCAACTTGGTCGCGCTCTTTTAAATTCACCCTAAGGATACCATTGGCCTTCTTGGCCACAAGGACACACTGGCTCATGGTCAACCTGTTGTCTGCTGGGATTCCCGCGTCCTTCTCTACAGAGTTCCTTTCCAGCAGGTTGTCCTTAGTTGTCCTGAAACTTGTACAGATACACGCTGTTATTCCTCCCCAGGTAAAGGACTCTACACATCTCCTTGCTGAACCTCATAAAGTTTGTCTCCACCCAACTTTCAGCCTGGCCAGATCACGCTGAATGGCAATATAGCCTTCCAGTGTGTAAGCCACTCCTCCTACCTTCATATCATCAGCACACTTGCTGAGGATTCTCTTTCCTTTCATCCAGGTCAGGCTTGTGACTTCTCTGTGCATTCTTGTCTGTTTATTTGCATTTCTCTGGCTTCCTTTACCTCTGGGTTTTTAGAGTCCTGGCAAATACTGAGTTAACTAAAAACAAAGTCAGTATGAATACACAAACATACACTCCCATACTTTTCCTTTACTCTAGCATGGTTTTGACTTCTAGTGCATGCTAGAAAAATAAGGAAAATGAGGACCGCACTCAGAGAGTTGTTGTCAACGGCTACATGTCCAAGTGGAGACCGGTGACGAGTGGGGTACCTCAAGGATCGGAGTTCACAGCAGTGTTATTTGTCATCTTTGTAGGTGACATGGACAGTGGAATCAAGTGCACCCTCAGCAAGTGTGCAGACGACACCAAGCTAAGCGTTGCAGTTCACACGCTAGAAGCAAGGGATGCCATCCAGAGGGACCTGGACAGGCTTGAGATATGGGCCCATACCAACCTCATGAAACTGAACAAGGCCAAGTGCAAGGTTCTGCACCTGAGCAAGGGCAATCCCAAGCATGATACAGGCTGGACAGAGAATGGCTTGAAAGCAGCCCTGAGGAGAAGGATTTGGGAATATTGGTTGACGAAAGACTCAGCGTGAGCCAGCAATGTGTGCTTGCAGCCCATAAGGCCAACCGTATCCTGGATTGCATCAGGAGAAACATGAGCAGATTGCTGGTCGAGGGAGGTGATTCTGCCCTTCTATTTACTCTGTTTTCGTGGGGCCCCTCTTAGAGTGGGATCTGTGTCCAGTTCTGGAGCCCCCAGCACAAGGAGGACATGGAGCTGTTGGAACAGGTCTAGAGGAGGGCCACTAAGATGATTAGTGGGCTGGAGCATCCCTCTATTAGGACAGCCTGAGACAGCCAAGATAACTTTTTATAAGGCCAGGTAGCAGCAGGATGAGGGGAGATGGCTTAAAAATGGAAGAGAGTAGATTTAGACTAGATATTAGGAAGAAATTCTTTATTGTGGGTATGGTGACACAATGGAACACGTTGCTCAGTGAAGCTGTCAGTGCTCCCTCCCTGGAAGCATTCAAGGCCAGGCTAGGTTGCTAGAGCAACCTGGTCTAGAGGGAGGTGTCCCTGCCTATAGCAGGGGGGGCAGTAGTTCTTAAAGGTCCCATCCAACCCAAACCATTCTATGATTCTATGATTCTTTGATTCTATGTTCTCCTCCCTTCTCTGCTACTTGAATGATGTCACTAATAAATTATAAAGATAATAATCAGTCAGGTTCCAGGGTTCAATAAACACTCAGTAAAATAACACCTTGCAGGACTTTATTTTCATATTTACCAAATAATGCTCAGGTTACCTGACATCTCGTTATCAGTGTGTGAGTTCTTATGTTGGAGCTACTGAAAAATTACTTAATTGCTCATAGAACAAAAGGAGCAACGGTTCCTCAATCAAGTGAAAGAGAAGTCAAAATACTCTGAGGATTTGGGGATCTTGTTGCTACTAGAAATAACAGAGAACAGAGAGTTTGGTGAATAAATGGAAGGTAGTGGAATTTTTCTAAGTTCCTTGGAGACTCATAAACTACAGCTGTTCATAATCATTACAATAGCTAAAGATGCCTTCCAACTTCTGTCTGACATTTTATGAGAACACATTGAGTGCACTTTTATTTGTAGTCTGTGGAAATGCACATTTTAGAAAATAGTGCACAGTTTCAAAGCTGGATTTAAGAGCTAAGGTCCCAATTCAGGAATAATTTATGCATATACTTGCCTTTACAAATTATGTAATATCTAATCTAATTACCACAGTGGGACTACTCAAAGGTAATGAAATTAGGCACATGTGTAATTTTGCTGAATGAAGATGTTAGGTATGTTAGCCCCAATTTAAGGAAGTAAATGTGCTTTTTTTAGTTGAAGAAAGGCATAAAACAGAAGGAAACCAAAGTGGAATTCAAACAAAAATGAGATTTTGGAAAAATCTTTTTTTT